TTTCGTATAGGCGTGATTTCTGGACGTCACCATGTCCAACATGCCCTCAACTAAATAGCCATGAGCAGAATGCCTAAACACTTGGGTCATGGAAGTCACTCTGAATTTTTTACAAAATAATTATACATTGATAAAGATTGAAATGCCCCCCAACCACCAAATAATTGAAAGATTTGGAAAATAATATGTATTCCTACTAATGCCCAAAAATTTGGGTCGTGGACGTCACCCTGAATTTTTTACAAAATAATTATGGGTTGATGGAGATTGAAATGCCCCGAACCACCAAATAATTGAAAGACTTGGAAAATAATATGTTTTCCTAATATATGAATTACATAGGTTACGTGTGCTACCAAACCAAATTGCTGACTAAAAGAAACCAGACCGATGGACCAGCTGGAATTGAAGAGTGAAGATCACAGTCCTTACCAAAAGTTGAATAGAAATCACCACTAATTAATCTTTGACTTGCATCTTTGAGAAAAGAGCAGCATCAGTGGTCCAATAGGGTCTAACTTCTGAGCACACAATCGAAAACTTTCATGGTTTTAAATGTTTATTGCTCCCTACAAATGATAAGGAACAGGCCCACCTGTAAAGGATTTTTTAATATGGGTAAGGGCGTCTCCTATGAAAAGGAAACAGTGCCGACCTTTAATGTCCATGGTCACTGAGAGAGGAGTTTTATCTAAAAATATGTCTCTGACTGTGCGCGTATGATTGAGAGAAAGAGAGAGAGCGGTCATCATCATGATCCAAACTTTATTCCAATTATTTGGGGTTGGGTATCATAATAAGATGTGTCTAAATTTTATGTTGGTGGTTGACCTAATGCAACTCACCTCCTTTATCCAAGCTTGGGACTGGTCATCACCCTTATTAGACCCGAGAGTAAGAGAGTAATTATCATTATTCTCCCTCTCTCTTGCCTATTCTAATATGGGTAAAATTGTTAAATAATTCATGTCTTTTAGATATTTTGATAACAAGAAAAAATTTGTGAGTCAACTCAAAATGGGCAGAGTCAGTTTGCATCCAGGTGGTCCTCAATTCCAGATGGTCCCGAATTGGAGAATTGCTCAAGTTATTCCGAACTAAACGGTTCCCATCAGTAAACAACAGGTTCACTTAGGGTAGTTCACGAGTTTTAAGCCTTCTTTTAATTTTCTTTTCACCATTTATGCTGATTCACTGAGAATTGGCACGTGCCTGAGTCAGCACACTATTATTGTTTTTTAAACATGAGATGAAATAGGTTTGTGTTAAATGTGATCATGTCATTCAAGAATAGGCAATCTATGTTGCAATCAATGTTTTAAAATCTAAATAGTTTGGGTGGATCATCCAGCTCATATATTTGTATCGGATCGTTGGATCAATGACCCAACTATGAGTACCTTATTTTAAAAGGGCCAACATGCCCATATTCAGCAAGCTCACCATTTTTATTGATCATTAGATGTAAAATTAAAGGGTTTTATTAGGCTACACCACTTGGAAATGTACTCTTAAAGTGCTCAATATTTTTTTATAATAAAATACCTTTGAATTGTAATACAAAATTTTTGAAGTAGGGGCATTTTTGGTCATTTAGAAAGGTAAAATGGATATTTTTATAAGAAAATAATATCATTCTATTAGTAGTTAAAAATAATTAATGCCTTTTGCGGGTGATGTCACGTACCATAACGGTGATTTCATTGTCCACTATTTTTAATAAATATTTTTGTTTCTATTAGCAACCCAAATTATTTTAAATGAGTGTTTAAAAAATGGGTGTCTCAATTCGGAACTGGATCGGGAATCACTATGACCCTCCCGAATCCAGTAAAAATTCAGGATTCGATTGATTTAGAATAGTAGACTCGCCGATTTTTTCAGGGACTCGTCGATTCTTCATTGAGTCCGGCCGATTCTTCATCAATTCTGATCGATTCTTCACCGAGTCAAGAGAAAAAAAACGATGAACGATTTTTCCTTAAAATATTTTAAAAAATAATAATCGAGTCCGACCGATTCTTTCGATCCGATCCACCAATTCCCCCGATCCAATACGGGAATGGGTGTGACCGATTCGAGTCACCCATCCGGTTTTTAAAACACTGTTTTAAATCAGTTAAAAAATAGAAATTAAAACTAAGGTTCAAACAATTCTTTGTCCTATTAGTCCCAGCTCAATGAGAATAATTTGCAAAATTGAAATTTACATGAATATATGTACTGCTTTTATTCAACTAAATCTTCATTTAGGAAATAACCTTTTAGAATGGATGATTTTGATTTCACTGACCTCAATACTTGATCACCCCCATATATTTTTGTTTTATTCAAGTCAATATTCATTTAGGAAATGAACCTTCTTTGGGTGGTAATTTTGATGTCACTGATGGCAACATTTAGAGAATGAGGGGTACCATGACATCTAGAATAACAGTCTCACAAAGCCCCAAGTTCAAATATTTCATCCCCTCGGGGTAGGGTACGGCAACATGCCGTCTAGAGTAACATTCTCACCAAGTCCCTTGTTAAAAAGGTCTAACTCCCCTTATTTCATCATCATTTTTGGTGATAATGAACCAAAGATTTACTGATGCAAGATATTAAAAAATGATTTAGAGCCCTAAAAGTGTTTGATATCATATACCTGCTCAATATACAATTTGAACCACCCGTTTCAATGGATACTGAATCAGTCATATGGGTGCCATTTTAGAAATTCCAAATCCATATTTTTAAGGGTAAAAATATTCCAAATCTCTCTTACTGTGAGTCCATGTACAAAGCCTCTCTCTCTCTCTCTTTGAATCCACTTTGCAATAGAAAATTTGCTTCTGGTTGTGCTCTGTTTATCCACTTGAGAGATGATTTATTCATTGATATCACAGATTAAAGTATACCTTATGCTTGCTAGAGATGGACTTTGCACTCTCATGTTGATTATTACTATTATTTTCTAATCCTAGAGAGATAAACCATTAAAATAGGCCATCTTTTCGCAAGATAGATATTGCAGGAAAGATGAAGCGTTTGTTTTCCCATTTTAATGTTTCCCTACTCATTTCTCTCCCCACTCCACAGATTATCTCTGTTTTCTTGTTATATTTTTTTCCACTTATGCACCACATCGCATAAGAGAGTGACTACTGTTAGCTATTAAGGTGTGTGTAGTGCATAAAGCCTTAACTTGTGATATTTATTTAAATTTTTATTGATCTTCACAAAATCCTTTATTTTATTTTATTTCAATAAATTTATCGGCAATAAAACAATAGGATTATTACCTATCATCTCAAAAAAAATCCTATTAACAAAATTAATATATTACAAAGTATGAGTAATCTTTATTTTAAATGCCAATTCAAATAAAGATATTTGAAATTTCAGCTAAGACATGGATTCCAGCTTTTTTTCTTTGTCTTTTTTTAATTATGACTTTCTTTTTCATTTTGAAGTCATTTATGCCATGATGAACTAATTGGATCTCTCACTAATGTTAAAGACTTCCTATTCGTAACAGCATTTTGAAACCATTAATATCAACTTAAAATGAGAGATTTGGAATCATACGAAATAGATGGGATAGGAGTCCTAAATTCTTGCTTTCCAATGCTTATGAAAAAGAAAATCCAGAAAAAAAAGAAAAAGGAAAAAAGGTTGGATGTAGAGATAAGAGACATATTTATTAAATGCAATTAAAAATAGAGATTGAAAATAGAATGAGGAGAGAGATGATCTAGAAATTTTAAATTTATTTTCTTAAGAGATTTTAGGAAACAAAATGGAGGGAAAGAGAAGTCATAATTCATGATCATATAAAAGATAGAGGTTGTCAGGCAAAACAAGGGATGTTATATAAATTAGTAAACCCATAAAAGGGAATGAGCACATTACAGAAAAATCGCAACAATTACCTGTTTCCAATTTAATATTACAAACAGGGCAGGAGAAAAATGATTAAGTCCCTACCCTACTTGAAATAAAGTTCAAAGCTCATTTCTCAAAAGAGTTCATTTCTCAAAGAAACACGCTCCCGTCATTCCTTTGATGTAATGACCAGCAATCCCAATGCACCTATTAGCAGGTACTGCAACATGGAGGGACACACATTTTAGTGACAAGGCACAAACTTCAGATAAATACATAGTTTACAGTCCATGAGCTACAAAAAGCAAGCACTTCATTGTCCAAGTTTCTTCCTAAAAGTGAAAAGATCCTTGGCTTGTAACCAAACACCCAGGACTAGTTATATTGAAGCTAGCAGAAGTCCCCAAGAATTTTAATAAGATGAGCCATATCGGTATACAATAATTAGAAAATGACAACAAACAAAAACAAAACGACTCCATGAAGAAAAACATGATCATGAAATTTGTGATTTGTCAAGTGACCAAAACATCTACTTGAGTGCCTTCGTTCTTTCACATGGACTGCCTTTTCATTGCTACAGACTGTTACTATTGCCTCAATCAGTGTCTTAGAAACAGGAGTATGGACCAAGTCTCACCAAGGTCCTGAGCCCAAGCCACCTGGTCCAACTACGGCAAGTCCTAAGTCGGACCAGGTTTTTTTTTTCTTTAAAATAAATTATTAACTTCTTAAAGAAATCAGATCTCCCTCAAGCTTTTGCCTCAGGATTCGCCAAGGGCATGAGCTAAGCCAAATTGGGGGAGTCTCGAGCTGAGTCTCTGATCTTCTAATCACTGGTCTCAATTATTAAAGTAAGGATTGAAAGGGTCAGGGAGCACTTTGTTGAAAAGACTTCTTTGGTTTTGGTTAGTTCTGCTGAACTTGTGACGCGATAAAGTTGAAGTGACAGTTTTCTCCAAAGGGTATTTGCATAGAAAGAGACCAACACATTTGAGAATTTGAAATCAAATGTGTGTTATTTCATTTTCACAAAAATAGCAGAACTTGGGAATTCAAATCTTGATCACTTGCAAAACTGGTATCAACAAGAGCTTAAATATAGTACTAAAAAATCAGGAGAATGTCTGATAGCATGTAATATTCCTGCCAAGTAGAAACAGTTACATATATCAACCAACACAAACCTTAATGATAGGCTTTTCAGTCATGATGATAGTGACCCAGCCAACATAAGGTAAGAACCTGCAAAAGGTTAAGTGTAAAAATAAACTTGCGTTATTGGCTAGAAAGAAGAATCCCAGTTAACTGGAGATGAGAAGTAGAAGTGCCCTCTTGCCATGACCATTCATTCATATTGGAAGGCCAAGCACTTGAAAGAACTCACCCCACAGCCCTCCCCATGATATGATGCTGCTGAAGCCAAAGCTGACCATGAGCATACAAAAGTCTATCATCTCCAAAATTATTATCACCTGAAATAATGAATGATATGAATGTCCAAAACACCAGAAAAAATATAAATTTATTAACCAAGTTGAGTAAGACGCTTATTAATTACTCCCTTATATTTAAAATACAAGTTCACAGATTGAAAAGTCCCTTATATTTAAAATACAAGTTCACATATGATTTTCAATCTTTTACTATCATGCTTACTGCACCAGGAACTCATTGGTGTTCGAAGGTTAGTACCTTTCGTGAGAACATCAACCTCACCGGTCTCTTGTCGTTCATGTACCTATAAGGGAGAGCAACAAACATTAAAAGCGTGATGTATTTACCTTAAATAGCAATACAGTACTAAAATCTAGCATGTAAATTGCCAAGTAGGAAATATGAAAGCAAAGTATACATGAAGGCCAATCCTACCAGAAAGCAGAAACCAATAAGGGTGCCCTAAAGAACAATTTAAAGCATTGAAATGTGTAGTTACATGTTTGTTATCTACGTGGGTAAAAGCAGTGGTATCCCGGCAAGCTTCTTATATATCCATGTGAGTGCATAAAAGTAGTAGATCATGACGCAAGCATTCCACTGCAAACCATATTGTTTTTTGCATGGACCATGGAGCACTGTGTCTGTATATCTAGTTATCAGCTTAGGATGTAAATTTTCCATTGCCCAACGGAATCCTCTTTGTATGGAATTTGGAACAGGTTGCCAAAACAAGTACAGATACAGAACCACTACTCTTACCAGCAACATAATCCACTATCAATGACATCCCTCTACCAGCAACATAATCCACTATCAATGACATCCCTCTACCAGCAACATAATCCACTATCAATGACATCCCTCTACCAGCAACATAATCCACTATCAATGACATCCCTCTACCAGCAACATAATCCATTTGCAGTTTGCGCAGCACTTGTATCTAACAAATTATACGATTCGCTACTCTCTGGCCTTATTTTCTTCCAAAGCCAGATACATTTATAACCTTCAATATTTTGCAAATGAGGCCCAGTAATCACTGGCAGCTAAAATCATTATGTAACTTTCTAAATAGAGGAATATCTCCTAGCACATTGTGCGACTTTTATGCTGACAACTTCGCATTATTCCGAGGAGGTTTCGACGGTCCATTCTCTGACGGGGAAGAAGAACCACTTCAGCTCGACCAGTCTCCCTCAGCCGTACCGGACCCTATTTAACCTAGTGATTTGCAGACGAGCGACCTACTCCTCTCGGAAGCTCAGCATCCAGCAAGGGAGGAAAACATTCCTGAATCCATGGACCCCAACCTCCTTCCCTGCACCCTGCTCCCTCCTGTCCTAGTAGGGCTCCCTGCTGATCCTCTTAGTGGCAACCCCATCGTCATTTCTGTCACATGCATTCATCCTCCCCCCATTCCCGTCCCTATCCCTAACTTCATTCCTCCATCACCTGTACTTGCCACCCAACCTTCTTTGAACCATTTGCTGATCTATTTCCGCCTAATTTCTCAACCAGCTTCTCCCCTTACCAACCCTTTCCCCACCTCAACACCCTTCACCAAAATTTCTTTCTGGCACCTGTTCCTCTCAGCCCTCAACCTGAGCCCCAACCCACCAATCTCTCCCCCATTACCGACCCTGGAACAGACCCACCCTCGGAGCCTCTGCCCTCTCTTTCTCCTAGGCCCTGCCCCGCTACCGCTAATCCCCCCACCCCTTCGTTTGCTCCCATAACCTCTCTTCTAACCAATAGTTTATCCCCTCCCCTCTCTCTTGTTGAAACTGCTTCCACCCCAACCAAAGACCCCTTTGGTCTGTCAACTGGTACTTTCAGACCCACCACTGCAAATGGGCTCCACTTTCCGGTACTTCTGGCATTGCCTTCCCTTGTTCCGTCCTCCAGGGACTCATCAGGATCGTCCCTTTCAGTGGACACCATGGGAGATCCTATCTCCCCCCCTCCCCCCAGTAGACTCCAACTTTGTCAATGGCGTCAACGAGGGCCAAGGACAAATCCGGGATGTCCTGAGAGTGAGAGGCTTCCCACAAGCTGGACCAGATGGACCTTTTCTTGATTTCTTCAAAGATGATCTGAAGCCTCGAGTTCTGGCATGCAAAAAAGGCACTCGAGAGCTAGCAAACCTGGCTTGCACTATCAACTTTGATAGACCTTCTTCTTCCAATCTCTCCCTCTCCTTCATCCTTCTTAAAGATCACCCCACAGGTCTTTTGGTCAGGCAGTCTCTCAAGAACTCTCCCCTGACTTTCTCACCTCAATGCTGATACTCTCTGTGAATATCAGTGGGCTCGGACTGCCACAGAAAAAGCAGGTAGTCAGGGACCACTGCTTTAGGCTCAAACCCACCATTATGGCTCTCACAGAGACGAAACTATCTGAACCCTCTGTAATTCAGGTGAGACAAGTTTGGGGGCGCAGACCTTGTCAATGGGTCGCATTCCCAGCTAAAGGGGCATCAGGAGGAATATGGGTCATTTGGGACCCCACGGAACACTCCTTATCGTCCCACCATGCTTCCAAATTGTCTGTTACCACACTACTGTCTAGGATCCCTGATGGCCTATCCTGGAAATTCACCGCAGTCTATGAACCGAACTCGGACAATGACCGTCTTCTTCCGTGGGAAGAACTCAACCAGGTCGCCACGCTAACCAATCCCATCAGGTGAATAGGGGGGGATTTCAACGTTACGAGGTGGTCCCATGAGAGAAACATCTCAACCAGAATCACCCCGGCTATGTTAGCTTTCTCTAACTTCATTGCCCTCAATAACTTGCTTGACCTCCCTAGTCAAGGACCCCAATTCACCTGGTCCAGCCACTCCCCACCCTCTCAAAGCTCGACCGATTCCTAATCTCTATCAATTGGAACTCACATTTTCCTGGGACCCAGTCCTTGGAACTCCCCAAACCTACCTTCGATCACTGTCCCATACTTTTGGATTCCAAGCCAATAGAGCCTGGACCCAAACCATTCAGATTCGAATTGGCTTGGTTAGAAGAACAGTCGCTCTTCAACCTATTTCTTGAATGGTGGTCCACTCTGTCGAACTTAGTAGATGGCTGGGCTGGCTTCAAACTACAACGAAAGCTATAACTTTTGAAGCCTCACTTAAAATCCTAAAGTAGGAGACTACCAGGGTTTTTAGGACCTCGAAAATCTGCCTCTCTGCAAGCCCTACAAACTCTTGACTCGCTAGAAGAATCCAGACCCCTCTCGGCCCAAGAATCCACTCTCAGAGATGATGAGAAGCTCCAATATCAAGTCATCTTAAAAAAGAGGAAATCTTTTGGTATCAGAAATCCAGAATCAAGTGGCTTAAGGCTAGGGACCTCAACACTGGATTCTTCCATAAGCCTGCCAATTGCAGGCGTGAAAACAATTCAATCACACACCTTGTGGTAGATGGCAACCTTATGGACCAACCTCCCGATATTAAGCAAGCCATCCTTGGCTTCTTCTAGAACCTCTTCTCTGCCCCCCAACTCCTCGACCTCCAATGGGCGAACTTGACTTCCTAGTTCTACCTCAAGACAAAGCAAATTGGGTATAGAGACCTTTCTCTTAACCTGAAATCCTAGCTGCCATCTCTAACCTAGACTCTGATAGGACCCCTGGACTCGATGACTACCCTATTGCTCCGTTCAAAGTTTTTTGCGGATCTTTCAAAGAGGACTTCCTCAAACTGTTTGACCAATTCTACTCTAGGGGTATCATTAATAGGGCCATGAATGCTACCTTCATCAATCTCATTCCCAAAGTAGAAGGGGCAACCAACTGAAGGACTTCCATTCTATCAGCTTGGTAGCCAAAGTCCTTGTCGGCTGCCTTAAAGAAGTCCTCCCCCTAGTCATTTCCACCACCCAAGTGCTTTCATCAAGGATCATCAAATCCTAGATGGCCCTAGTGGCCCATGAATGCATTCACTCAAGACATCTGGCCAAAGCCCCTGGAATTGTCGTAAAGCTGGACTGGGAGAAGGTCGACGATCACGTAGACTGGGATATCCTAGAAGAATCTCAGTCCAGGATGGGATTCGGCTCCAGATGGAGAGGATGGATGAGAGCATGTTACTCTCATCTATATTTCTCTATCATCATTAATGGCTCACCAAAAGGATACTTCCCATCTACTAGAGGCCTCAGACAGGGGGATCCCCTCTCCCGCTTCCTTTTCGCAATCACGATTGAGGTTTTCAGCAGGTCCATTTCCAGAATGTATTTGGCTGAACGATTGCATGGCTTTTCGGTGGGTCCTCGAGCCCCAACCATATCACACCTCTAGTATGCAAACGATACTTTGGTATTCTATGATGCTACCATATAAGAGGTTCACAACCTATTTTTGCTTCTCCGGTGCTTCTATTACGTAATCGGCTTCAAAGTCAATTTTAACAAAACCAAGATAATGGGGATTAATGTTGATTCAACAACCCTATCCACCTTTGCTGAAAGTTGGGTTGTGAAGCCGAAGCTTTGCCATCCAAATACCTAGGTCTGCCCCTCTATTTAGGCAAATCGAAATTGAGATTGTGGTCTCATATCGTAGATAAAGTGGACCGCAAACTAGCAGGATGGAAGAAGCGCTTCCTTTCCCCAAGAGGGAGGCTAAGTCTCATCAAGGCCACTTTGGCTAACATCCTGGTCTACCAAATGTCTCTATTTCGCATGCCAGTGGCAGTTAGCTCCAAGATCGAACAATTAATGAGAAGGCTCTTCTCGTTAGGTGACGGGGCCAGCAATAAATTCCACCTGCTTGCATGGGGCAAACTCTGCCAATCGAGGCCAAGGGGAGGATTAGGGATCAAAAACCTCAGAACCCAGAATTTAGCCCTCCTTGGTAAGTGGCGTTGGCGCATGACAAACCTGAGGAATCAGCTATGGATAGATATTCTTAAGCACAAGTATCATCTTCCTAGCACACCGTGGTTACCAAACTGCAAGACAAATCAAAGATCCTCAGGCATTTGGAGGTCGATCTGCTCAACCTTCCACGCCTTTAAGTCACGAATCAAATTCCACCCAAGATCAGGGAATCACATTCTGTTCTGGCAAGACTTCTGGTTAGGCCACACCCCTCTCAGGGACAGGTTTCCTAACCTCTTCTCTCTGACCCAAAATCAAGGGGCTACTATAGCCAACGAAATGCTTTCGACTGGCTCCTCTTGCTCGTGGAACACATCATTCAGAAGAGCTCTCAATGATTCGGAGTTTGGGAGCTTCACAACCTTAGCGGCAGATCTACACGCCTGCTTCCTCCCACCAACTGGTTCTGATCGCATGATCTGGACACCCGCACCCTCCAGCCTTTTCTCGGTCTCCTCTTTCTATTGCAGCCTATCTCTGCCCCCCACTTTTTCTTTGGCACCCGCAGCCATAGCTGCTCAAGTATGGGACTCCTTCGCCCCCCAAAAATTCAGATCTCTATGTGGTTGGCTCTCTCCCAGAGAGTCCTCACAGGAGATCAATTGCAGAGAAGGGGTATTTTGATACCCAATCGCTGTGTTTTGTGCCTAGCAGCTGAGGAAACAAACAATCACCTTTTGCTACACTGTCCCTTCGCCTTCAATCTGTGGGGGGCAATCCTCAAGCTCTTTAAAGTTCAATGGGTACTACCACCTGAGGTAACACTCATCTGCTCAGCTATCAAACCCTATCCCTGGCCTAAAGCAGGGGTATTGCTCTGGAAATCCACGGTCGCAACTACTCTTTGGGCCTTTTGGATTGAGTGCAACAACAGAACTTGCCAGGGGGAGTTCTCCCCTTGGAACAAAGTGTTCAATAAGCTCAAGACAACTATCACCTTCTGGGCAACCAACCATAGCAGCTTCAAAGGAATTCCAGCATCAGCTTTCACTCACGATTGGAGCAATGTCCTCCAAGTCAACAGAGTGCGTCTGTCCAGGTCCACAAGGTGGAAGCCCCCCAATGCACGAGAGCTCAAACTAAATTTCAATGGCTGTTCCATTGGAACTCGGGCCCATCATGCGTAGGAGCCATTCTCAGAGACCACCTCGGTTCTACACTGACCGTCGTTTCCAAACATATAGGCCACACAAATTCTATGGAAGCCGAAGACCTCGCGCTTTTGGAAGGCCTAAAACTCATTCAACCCTTCCACTTACACTCCTTAGTGGTGGAAGGTGACTCCAAGAACACCATCTCTTGGGCACAGAGACTTTCTAGTTCACCCCCTCCCTGGTTCCTCACGCAAGTGTTTGACAACATTTATCAACTATGTAGGAATACGTCCGTCTTGTGGATGCATACTTGAAGAGAAGGAAACCAGGAAGCTGACACGCTAGCCAAACAAGCAGCTACGATGGCGGTCAATGATTTTTTATTTTTGCATTTTTGGGCTTTTCTTTTTTGTTCCTAGGACCGACTTATTTTATTAGGTTGCTACCCTGTTGTAACCTCCTAAAAAAGGACTTGTTCTAGCCTCTTTTCTTATTTGCCCTTGAGCATCCTTTTTTGTGGATCGCTAAGGTTTTCTGTACTCTTCTTTCCCCACACTATCAATTCAAGGTTAACATTATCAAAAAAAAAAACTCATGAGAAACATTTGAATAACTCCTTTTTCATGCTGATTCCATTGAATAGGGCCTTGCAGCTACTGCCTCAATATACTCAGTTTTCAAGAACTATGGCCAGCATAACAAGTCCTGGAATTTCAACCTCTGAGTCCTAAAAATGGAAGAGATCTGATTTATTCAATTGACAACTTGAAAACTTTAGTATGCCAGCAGGACAGCAAAATGTGATCACCAATCAATAGGTTTAAAAAGCTGCTAGACATCATCGGCACGCAACCAACAGATCTCGGTAGCAGCAAGATATTGATTCAGTGGCTACACTTTGGCATTCACACCATGAACATCTATAACCTGTGTCCTTTGCCATGTTTGACCAAAATGGAAGATTATCAAAACAATAATGTGGATTCCATTCATTAGTCTAGGAGGTTCATGAGCAGAACCTTCTCACTTATGCATTCTAACAGTTAGGGACAAGCTCCATGCCTCCTTAGTATCTCTTTCCTGTAGCATTTATTGATGATTGTTCCCCAGTGACATGCTTGTGCCCCATGAAGTTAAACGATGCAGTCTCACGTATTTTAATACTTACCTTAAGATGACTAATCCTCAACTTGATGGAGAATAGAAGGTTTTGTGTCCATTATTTGAACTGATTACATCCAGAGAGACATGTTATATTAACTTTCTTAGAAGGGAATCAACCACTAAACTTCCAGCATTCCCACTCCACAATAGAAAGGGCTAGTTAAAGGGGGGAAAAAGGGGTTGTCTTAACTTTGGTAATTGGAATGGAAGTACAATATGTTCCTAACATGCTTATGCATTGGCTATACAATTCTGGCATTTAAGTATTGTTTGTTATTTCAATGATTTTAGCCAGAGTTAATGACTATATGACCTTTTATGGTTCAATATCACCTAATGTCACTACTCATCACAATCTTCCAATTCATGTTGTTATTCTAATATGGTATCAAAGCATGCAAACACTTAAATTTTTAGACTCACTCTTTCATAAATCTTTCTGTACAGACTTTATTCACAAGCAACACATTGTGTTTTATAGACACAGATGGAGAGATCTGTTGCTTCAAGCTTCAGATCTATAATGGTCCATTAATCAACATGTGACAATACGGGCCACAGAGTAGTCAAAGATGGCTGCGTATAGATAAGGTGGCCTTTAACCTCAAGTTAGGGAGCCTGACGTGGTGTATTTTAGGCAAGCAACTGGATGATGCCAAGGTGAGTGACTGGGCTAGTTGGTCGATTAATCGCATAAAAAGAGAGATAAACAATAAAAAATGAGTGAACAACAAAGAAAATAGACACTACATCCCCCTCCACTGGAAGCAGCCCTGGCTGCAGTATTGTCGGCTCTGTCCACTATACTTGCTAGCTTGGTATATTTGTTTGTTTCATCTAATGAGTGGATCCTACCAATCTTTATGCTTGCTTACAAAATTGGAAATGTCCCTCTCACTATAGTAGCGACTAAAACAATGTTATATTAAATAATTACTCCATAAATACACCTACCATCTTTCAAATCATATGTTTGGTCTAAGAAGGGCGAGGACCTTAAACTTTCCCTTAACCCGTCCCAAACTCGGGTAAAGGAGGTGGGTTGTGTTAGGCACGAAGCCAATGTAAAACTTTGCTATAACTTTTTATAAATCTTGATTCTACCTTATCTACTTATGCTAGGGCATTCCCCATAAGCGATGTGTTGTACCAAAAAAAGGTTTAGATGATAATGAAACAAAATTTTCTTAATAAATACTGCCCACTATACTTGCAACCTTGGAATATTTATTTGGGTATTCTCTCAATTAGATGAGTGATCATGGCACCTTATGTGCTTGCTTAGAAAAATGGAAATGTTTCCATCACTTTATCAATGACTGAGACAATGCATATTAGTCTATTAAAGAATTGCTCCATAGATACACCTAGTATGATATAAATCACATATTTCTGTTGTTCCTCACATTCTCATTATTCTTGAGGTTTTTCTAATTCCTGTTATAGTTATCATCCAATAGGGAACTAAGACAGCTGCATGGAACCAGATAGAGTTTTGGAACCCAAAAACCGGTTAGAGCGCTCCTGCTGCATCTGACTCCACTGAAAGGTTCACAAAAGTTGGAGTTAAGACCTTATATTTCTTTTAGGGTCTACAAAGATCTCATATATCTTTTAGGGTCTACAAAGATCTCATTGAGAGTGAGGACTTCTAATACAAGCTTGAAGGACTTCCACTCAATATCATTGAAAAATCCCAATTCACAAACATAATCTGTCTTTTTCTAATGAACCCATGTGATCCATCATAGAAGCTCATCTTTGAAAGAAGCATCGCATGTATAGGAGTCACTCGTAAAGTTTCATTGAGTGTGAATATCCTTTGCAGCAGATTACTAAGTTTTTCTAATTTTGGGTGTAAGATATTCAGAACTGCTAACCATTTAAGTTACCAGTGGAATGACATTAAGAGGAAAGCTATAAACCATTAAACTTGATTTAGAAATCTACAGTAACATAATTAATTTAAATAAGAGTCCTTATTTCAACATGTGAGAAGAGAAGCCAACAAGGAAGCCAATAATCTGATAAATGCAATTCCACAAGCATAGTTTGCAATAGAGGCATTTTTATTTTACATCACTGAGATGCCACTAGGCATCTTTTTTATGTCTATTCTTTTTTCATTTTTTTTGAGAATGTTATGTCTATTCTTTCTAAGTAATTTTATTTCTAATATTAATAAAAACAAGGAAAATTATCAAAAAGGTGTTGAAACCCCTTACAAGATCACTAAAGGGATCAACAGCTTACGAATTACACTTGAGGGTAAAGCTTTTAAATTTCTATATCAATCAGGTATGTCCTAAAAAAGGAACTTGAAAAATTCCCAAATTGGCCCTATTCGGTGGTGGGAAGCCAAAACAATTACGGTACTTCGATAATTTTACCCCCAATCATCATTCGGTTAAGGACTCTTTGGGGGTAAAGTTCTGGCATCCCAACACTGAATAGGGACAATTTAGAAATTTTCAATATCTTTTTTTTTTTGGACGACGTACCTAATTGATATAGAATTTAAGAGCATAACTTCAAGTCTAATTTGTAATCTTTACCCCTCAATGATATTGTAAGGGTTTTCAACCCCTTTTTTGATATTTTCCCAAAAACTATATCAAATATCAGAAATAAAAGAGAGGGTGAGAATTGTCAATGTTGATATATCGACAAATAAATGGCTGCTATTCTGGTTGTATTGAACCCCTGGAGAACATATGGATCACGTAGATCTGTCCTTTGTAAGTAAAGTTGATCAAAAGCACTTACAGACTATACACTTCCAAATAAAATATGATTCCCATTTTCTTTGACATTACTGACTGCTGGACATTCAAGATTGTATGCTTATATGCGATAAAATGTAGAATACCATGAAAAGGAGAAAGTGAAAAGATATAAAATCTCATCTATAAGCATATCATACATGGAACATCCTAGTTCAAGCAATCAAAGCATGAATAAGTATCAACAAAGCTAGAATAATAATAATAGCCCTTCTAATTCAAAGAGAAATCACCACAATTCCCTATTACTACAAAAGATTTATGTCACCCTCCAACACATGATAAGATGTTGCCCTAAGATGTCGCTCTTGGAAGCTTACCTTTATAACACGATGAACAATAGGAATTTCACGTCCCTGAAACACAAAACAAAGAGAAAAATAAATACTAAAATTAACAGAAATTCGTAAGATATATCAAGATAATTATAAATAATTTAAAATTAAAATAAGTAATAACTCATCAGGGAAATGACAAAAGCATATTCTAAATCAAATATTTTTTCAAGAAGTCTTCTCATAAGGTATAGTGTAAGAATCATCTATAATCAAAATTATTCGAATAGACTTGATTTTGTCTTGGATTTCAAATGTTGCTAAAAGAGGAATGCACAAAAGTCAAATAAAATAATAGTAACCAAAATTACTCTAAGTTCCATGGACAAAATCATTGCATCCAGGAGTTGATACATGGCATGGAAACCAGTAGTGTTGTGCTATGATGAAAAATGTTTAAAGTATGTTTTAGCTGTTAGTTCTTAGGAACATAGAAATTAGCCAGGGGTATGGTACAATATTGGCAAAACATTGGTACTTACACATAAATGAATGTGTGCCAAATCTCCAATATGCAGTTGAGTGAGGAAAGATGCAGCCAAAACCATGAATACCTCAAATGAACAAAATTCTGAATGAGGAAAAAGTAAAGAGAACTCCAGCTTGGAGAGGACTAGAGGGGTATTTTATACAATGTCACTGCCAATGTTCAATGAATATGTAGCATATTTTGAGGTTAGTGTATCACAAGTAAACCATGATGACAGGAACATTCATAAGTCATGATGTGTAATTGTGAGGCTATTCCTTTGAATTCTCAAACAGTTAAAATTTCTCCAACAAAGGGTGCAAACTGCAAACAAGCCCGGCTATGCCAGACCAAGGGTCCACTCACACCAAACTCGCTTGTTGTATAGTAGGGACTGAGGAAAACATGGGCTAATAGAGGCCCAACCGAATTCTTGCTTGAAGTGGGACCTAGGCCAACCCAACTCCTTGTCGCTGGCTCAGGCCAACCTGACACAGCATAATGGCATCATAGGCTTTGGCCATCTATGGTACAACTGCACGACCTATTTTTATGCTTTAAGAAAAAAAAAACAATTTTAGAAGAATTCTGAACATACAAGTCATGGTCGTCATCATCATCATCCGAGCCTTATCCAAGACTATTTGGGGTCAGCTAATAACATAGGTTCAGGGATTCATGAAAAGATGTGGCAAAGTACTCTGTTGGGTGCCTATCTATAATAAACCTCCTCCTTTATCCGGGCTTGGAACCGTCATGACCAGCTTGTGACCGACCATAGAGAAATCCACAAAAATAAAAGAAAATATTTTTTATTGATCAGAAGGTCAAGATCAAAGAGATTGAATCAATAGGGAGAATCAAGAATGTGTATCCAACTCACCATCAAT